CAGTTTGGCCATGAGACTTGCTGTGGCAAGTGAAATGTAAGCGCATGCAGCCTGTGGCATTTCCATGGCCTAGGCCAGTGGTCGGCAAACTGCAGCTCGCGAGCCACATGCGGCTCTTTGGCCCCTTGAGTGTGGCTCTTCCTAAGCCTTAGGAGTACCCTAATTAAGTTAATAACAATGTACCTACTTATATAGTTTAAGTTTAAAAAATTTAGCTCTCAAAAGAAATTTCAATAGTTGTACTGTTGATATTTGGCTCTGTTGACTAATGAGTTTGCCGACCACTGCTATACCATTCCTTGGAAGAAGCTTTAAGGGCTAACACCATTGTCCTTTTCCAATGCCATGCTGGTAAGTGCTCAACAACAGACTCTTTAACGGGAAAAAGTATTCACTGATTTCCATAATAGAAATACTTCCACCACGACTGACTTCAACCTACTAAAGTAGCGTCATTGCTCATGGAGTTGGGAAAAGATGCAGACAGTAGGCTCTTGCTGGTGCAAGCAGACACTATGCCCGTGTATCTCTTTCCTCTCCCCTGAGAACAGCATTGCCTTAGCGAGGTGCTGCTCTCCAGCCAGCATCCCGGATATAGAGCAGAACCCTATCTGACCAGCCGTTGGCATGTAGCCTTTTCCTGTAAGCTGATATTTTGGGGTTATTTGTCACCGTAGCATAACTTAGCTGAGGCTGACTAACGTACTCTTTGAAACTCTTTCTTTGCCTTTGGTAACACTTCTTATCATTCCAATCAACAAACGTTTATCAATGCCCACTCCAAATGAGAGAGAGCTATAGAAGGAAGACAGAGGGAGATCAAAATGTCACCTTTAGCCCTAGCTGGTTTGGCTCAGTGGATAGAGCGTTGGCCTACAGACTGAAGAGTCCCGAGTTCGATTCCAGTCAAGGGCACATGCCAGGATGGCGGGCTTGCTCCCCAGTGGGGCGCATGCAGGAGGCAGCGATCAATGATTCTCTTTCATATTGATGTTTCTATCTCTCTCTCCCTCTCCCCTCCTCTCTGAAATCAATAAAAAATAAAATAAATATCACCCCTTTTTCTAATAAAGCTGTTGGAGATGAACCATTAGGTCTGATAGGCAAGTGAGCTTACTAATACTGAACCCCAAAGTTAATCTCTCCACCCGGTCCCAGGCAGTGCTGGAAAATCATAATCTTCCTTATAAGGGTCAGTCAGATGCTGGGAAATTTAGAGCATGGAAGAAGAGAGCAATTAATAACAACAATAGCCCTGGCTATTGTTCAGTGGTTAGAGTGTCAGCCCGCACACCGAAGGGTCACAGGTTCAATTCCAGGCAAGGGCACATGCCTGGGTTGTGAGTTCACTCTCTGTCCCCTGGTCAGGGCATAGGGGGAAAGCAACCAGTCGATGTATCTCTCTTCTCTCTTCTCTCTCTCTCTCTCTCTCTCTCTCTCTCTCTCTCTCGCCCTCTCTCTCTCTCTCCTTCCCTTCCACTCTCTCTCTGAAAAGCAATGGGAAAAAATATCCTCTGGTGAGGATTAACAAAACAAACAAAAAACAAACAAACAAAATGGCTCTTGTGGCAAGCAGATCTGAAGGAGAAAAAGGGAAGAAGAGCTGAGTTGAGGTCCATTCATTCTCCCCAAACTCACCAATCAGATAAATCACTCCTCCTTTTCTGGGGAGTATAGAAGGGGGAGGGGGTGAAACAAAAGGCAAGAGTGTTGCTCTAAAAGAGGTCCCTCCACTTGGACAAAGCTCGAGCAGGGAATAAACATTCCCCTGAGCACTTTCCTCTTGTTCATGATCTCTAGATTACGAAAGCAACCCTGGCTCCTATCAGTCCTGAGCCCACTGGTTGTACTCTCTCTCTCTCTCTCTCTCTCTCTCTCTCTCTCTCTCGCCCTCTCTCTCTCTCTCTCCTTCCCTCCCTCTCTCTCTGAAAAGCAATGGGAAAAAATATCCTCTGGTGAGGATTAACAAAACAAACAAAAAACAAACAAACAAAATGGCTCTTGTGGCAAGCAGATCTGAAGGAGAAAAAGGGAAGAAGAGCTGAGTTGAGGTCCATTCATTCTCCCCAAACTCACCAATCAGATAAATCACTCCTCCTTTTCTGGGGAGTATAGAAGGGGGAGGGGGTGAAACAAAAGGCAAGAGTGTTGCTCTAAAAGAGGTCCCTCCACTTGGACAAAGCTCGAGCAGGGAATAAACATTCCCCTGAGCACTTTCCTCTTGTTCATGATCTCTAGATTACGAAAGCAACCCTGGCTCCTATCAGTCCTGAGCCCACTGGTTGTACAACTGCGCCCTCCCAGGGAACTCCTGTCCTGGTAAATGTAGCCAGATTTCTGTTCCTTGCATCCAAAGAACATGTGTTAGTTTCCTATTGCTGCTGTAACAAATAACTACAAAGTTGGTGGCTTAGAACAACACAAATTTATCTCACAATTGCCGAGGTCAGAAATCCAAAATGGGTTTCATGGGGCTAAAATCAAGGCGTCAGCAGCAGGTGTGTTCCTTCCGGAGGCTTTAGTGGAGAATCTGTTTCCTTGCCTTTCCAGCTTCTGAGGCTGCCATCATCCCTGATTTGTGGTCCCCAGCCAGCAATCCCGCCATCTGATCTCTGCTTATGTCATCACATCCCCTCTGGCTCTCCTGCCTCCCTCATATTCGTATGAGGACCCTTGTGGTTATATTGGGCCCATCCAGATAATCCAGGGTAATCTCTCCAGCTCAAAACCCTTAACATAATCACATCTGCAAAGTTCCTTTGGCCATCCAAGATAACATGGCCACATCTTCCTGGGATTAGGTCGTGGACATCTGGCGGGGGGGGGCGGGGGCAGCATTATTCTGCCTACCACAAAATACTAACAGAAATACTTCGTAGCTCATCCTGCATCTCTTACTCTCCTCTCCAGTCTGTCCTGAAAGTGATCTTTATAAAATGTGAATCTGTTCTACCTAAGAAACTTCCCCATTCCCCAAAGCCCACTGCATAGAAACCACAGCACACCCTGCTCTCTCTCACCTCTGATAGTTTGCTCCCAATGTTCTCTCAGCCTGAAATATCTGCCACCCCAAAGCCAAATCCTCTGTATCCTTCAAGGTCCTTCTCTTTCACAGAAACCTTCACGATCCCTCTAGCTGGAACCCAGCTGCACTGTGAGCGCCACGCCTGCAAAACCCGCCTACTTGTTACCTGGCAGTGCTGGGCACCAGGCAGTCAGACAGACCTGAGCTCAACCAATCTGTGCCTTTCTTTCCTCTATTAAGAAAAATGCAGATAATAAAATAGTTACCTCATATGAAGTTTGTTGTGAGAATTAGATGAGATAATGCATGTGAAGTGCTGAGCACAGTGCTAGCACCCAGTATTCAATAATAGGTAGAGGGAGCAGTTATTATTATTAAAAATTAATAGTCGAGTGAGTAAACGAATGAGGTAGTCCCTCCTTCCTTTGGGCTCTCAATATTCCCTTTATAGATCTTAGCATGCCCCAAAGCCTAGAACATTTTAAAAAATTGAATAAATAAACCCTGCATTTTGTGTATTAATGTGTAGTCGTAGTTGCTTTTCCTCCTGGGGGCGGGGTGGGGTCCATGCCTGGTCAGCATCACTGTAGGGATTGCTGGTAGAGAGGGAAGGCTGCCCTATGCCCCTTGCCGGAGCCCTGGGCAAACCTTGATAAACTCTGGTCTTCTTGGATTGAAGTGAATTTTGGCCACAAAGAAGCTTCCTCCAGGGAATATATGCTTGCTTTCCCACCCTCACCCCAACCCCCGTGAACCCTGTGCTCATGAACCCCAACCCTCATGGCACCACCTTGTCCTTCCCAGCCTTGTGACTCTGTCTCTGCGTGGCTTTGGACTGGCCTCTGCAAATCTTCCTGAAAAATGGCCATAACAAGTCCTGCCCCTTCCAGGGCAGGCTCCTCGTGGAATGAGGGACCGGGGTGGAGATGAGGAATGGATGTTAACTTCTTTTGTGAGAGGAGGTAAAATAGAAGAGACCAAGCTGATTCCCGGGACGTGGAAAATGAGTTACTCTGAGCCTGTGGGGAAACATGGCTGTTTCACAATCACACTCTGGACTAGAGGTCCAAAGGGGCCCTTGGGGCTGCTCTTGCCAGAGTTTCAGGGGTTGTTGCTTCATAGGGGGTGTGGGTGAAACGTTCACACCCCAAAAAGCTGCAGAAACCATTTCCCTGTCCAAGAATGGTCATCTCTTTTGAGAAAAAACAACAACTACCTTTCCCTGACTTAAAAAGGTTGTTTTCTTATTATAAAAGTAATGTCTGTTTATTCTAGAATTCATTATAGAACTTTTTGAAAATATAAAAATGCCCTAAGAAGGGGAGAAGTTCATGTAATGACACTATAACTATCAAATGAAATTGGGGTTTTGTTGTAACTGCAATTTTGTTTCCTGTTTGGTGAACATCTTTCCATGTGATTAAATATCGTGGGGACTGAGGGATTGGGGGCGGGGGGGATTCCAGTATACAAATTTGTTACCATGTATTTAAGCAATTTCTTATTGTTGAACATTTGGGATATTTCCTTTGGTTTTTTGTTAGTTTTTGGACTTTGGGGCTATTATAAGTGCTACAATTAGTATCTTTGTTACACAAGTCTATACATATCCTTGATTATGTCCTTTAAGTTCCTGGAAGTGGAACTGCCGCACCAAAGGATGTTTGATACAAATTGCCAATTTGTCTTCTAAAACTGATTTCACCATTTACACTCCCACGGGCGATTTCATAGGAATCGCTGGAGCTGCCGGCGCCTTTAACTGTCAAAAAGCCTGAACCAGAACTACTCCCAGAGGCCCTCTTGCCTGGCTTCACCTTTTCCCGCCCACTCGGCACACCCGCCGCGAGCCCCACCCACTTCGGTTTACGAGGGCCCACCCCTTCCTCACTCCTGCCGCGTGGTTGGTAGCTTAAAGTGTCCGTCGCGCTCAGGGGCGGGAAAAAGGGACTGACAGACGTGAAGACGGGCCAGTGTGAGCGGCGAGCGGGCCGTGCGTGCGTGCGTGCGTGGCGCGCTGGCCTGGAAGCGCTGGACCTGAGAGGTGTGCAGGCGGTTACAGTGGGAGGCTTCGGCAGCCATGGCTCCCAACGTTCCCGCGGCCGAGCCGGCCCCAGAGAGTCCTAAAGGCATCCGGGCCGTGCTGCTGG